TTATCAAGAACATAAACCCTGTGGTTTTATGTTGAATATGGTTAATTCAGTTGATGGTTCTAATTATGAATATTTATATCGAGGAAGTGATGCCGTTAATGTTTTTTGTAGTAAAATTAATGAGATAAGAGAAGACATTAAAGACAAAATGAAAGAAAATAAAGAAATTGATATGAGTGATGAAAATAAGAAAGACTTTAAAAATGCAACTCATTGTTTTATTTGTGGTGATAAATTTAGATATGATTATAAGAATGAAAAGGAAGCAGAGAAATATAAGAAGGTTCGCGACCATTGCCATTTCACAGGTAAATATAGGGGTTGTGCTCATAGCATTTGTAATTTAAACTTTTGTCATAAATATTTTAAAATACCAGTGTTTTTCCATAATATGAAAAATTATGATGGACATTTAATTATTCAAAATGCTGATAAGTTAAGTAATCAGAAGAAAATAGATGTAATAGCACAGAACAGTGAAAAGTTTATTAATATCGGTTTTGATTGTTTAAGTGTTAAGGACAGTTTTAGTTTTATAACTGCTTCTTTAGATAAATTAGTATCATTGACAAAATATGACAACACAGATGATAAAGATAAAAGAAAATGGATAATAAAAGACAACTGGCAGAACAATTTTAGATTTAGTAAAAATAATGATATTATTAAAAGTGAAAAATGTTTGGACTTATTAACAGAGAAGGGAGTTTATCCTTATGACTATATGAATTCAATAGAAAAGTTTGAAGATGAAAGTTTACCAACTAAAGATATGTTTTACAGTAGGTTAAGTGAGGAAAATATAATGGATGAAGATTATGAAAAAGCAAAAGTAATATGGAAACACTTTAAGATTAAAAACATGGGTGAATATCACGATTTGTATTTGAAAACAGATGTTTTATTATTAACTGATATTTTTGAAAATTTTAGAGATGTGTGTATTCAAGATTACGGTTTAGATCCAGTATATTATTACACACTGCCTAATTTTGCTTTTGATGCTATGTTAAAATTAACTGGTGTTGAAATAGATTTAGTTTATGACCAAGATATGTATGAAATGATAGAGACCGGACTTCGTGGTGGGATGACACAGACTGCCTGTAAGAAAGTAGAGGCAAATAATATTTATATGGGTGATGATTTTGATGAAAGCAAAGAAAGTAGTTATATTAACTATTTTGATGCTAATAACTTATATGGATTAGCAATGATACAAAAACTGCCATACAAAAATTTAAAGTGGGATACTAAAATAACAGAAGATGATATTTTAAACTATGCTAATGGTAATACTGGATACATCTTAGAAGTTGATTTAGAATACCCTAAAGAACTGCACGATTTACACAATGACTATCCAATGGCACCTGAAATTATGAATGTTAAAGCAGATATGTTATCAGATAAACAAGTTGAAATTTATGAAATACTGAATAAGAAAAAACCTAAAGATGAAAAAACAAATAAATTAATATTGAATTTAAAAGACAAAGAAAAGTATGTAGTCCATATTAGAACTTTACAGTTTTATTTAAAACACGGATTGAAACTAAAGAAAATACACAGAGCAATAAAATTCAGTCAGAAAGAGATATTAAAACCTTACATTGAATTTAACACTGAGAAAAGAAAGAATGCCAACAATGATTTTGAGAAAGATGTTTACAAATTAATGAATAATGCCGTGTTCGGAAAAACGATGGAAGACAAAAGGAAACACTTAGATTTTGAAATAGTGAGTGATGAAACAAGATTTATGAAATGTGTTAATAATCCATCATTTAAACATAGTCATATTATCAGCGATAATTTAGTAGGAGTTGAGAAACAAAAAACACAATTGAAATTAGATAAACCTATATTCATTGGAATGAGTATTTTAGATTTGAGTAAGCAACATATGTATAAGTTTTATTATGATGTTATGAAACCTAAATACGGAGATACTATTAGAATGGTTTATACTGACACTGATAGTTTTGTATTTCATACTAAGACTGATGACATTTATAAAGATCTTCATGATATTAAAGATGAAATGGATTTTTCAGATTATCCTATTTATCATAAATGCTATGATACTACTAATAAAAAGACGTTGGGTAAATTTAAGGATGAATGCAGTAGCAAAATTATTACAGGGTTTATTGGACTTCGTCCTAAGTGTTACGCTTTTCAAATCTATGGAGAAGAAAAAGAACATAAGAAATGCAAGGGCACAGCAAAGCACATAGTGAGGAGGCAACTGACATATAAAGAATATGATAAGGTTTTACAAACTAATGAAGCTATACATAAATCATTCAATAGTATTAGAAGTAAAAACCATAAAATTTATAGTATTAGAACAACAAAGATTAGTTTGAATAGTTATGAAAATAAAAGATACTGGACTAATACAGGTGATAGTTTAGCATATGGTCATTATTCTATTGAAAATGGAATAATATGATGACATAGTCATCACTGGAGAATTAAAGAGATGATGACTTAATGTAGTAATGAAGATACACGCAGAAATAAAAGAACGAATAGAATTAATAAAAGAAATGATAAAGGTAAAAGAACACTATGAAGGTGAAAGAGATAAATATGCTTTGCTAGATGTTAAATACTTTAAAACTAACAAGAAAGACTTTTATGAAGGGTTTAAATCATGCCTTGAATTAGAGCATGATGAGACGCAGTTGAAAAAAGATTTTAATGAATTAATAAAAACTTGTGAATTAGCAGGTGAAAGTTCTGTAAATTATGTGTTTAGTTTTGACGGAGTGGTCAGAGGATATGAAAGACTTATAGAAATACAAAAACAAAAAATATCTCATGTACTTCGTTAAAAATGACTTAAGGAAATAATGACTCAATATATTATAGTGAAATGTTGTTTAACTATAACAAGTGCGAATGCTGTAAAAATACAAAGAATGATGTTAATATAACATTGTATAAGTTATTACCCGCCAATCTATGTAATAAAATAAGTGAATATAATGTATATTGCAATCAATGCTGTATAACAATAGACCTTGAAAAGTTTTTTGATGAAGAACATAAGGATAAGGGATATACAAAGTTTCAATTACAATTAAAATTCTTTATGCGACACCAAGCAAGATTTCCTATACACTTTTACCAGAAGATTTCCATAAAGTCATTTGAACATGAAATTGATGAATTCTTTAATAATATAGATTTAATTAGGAGGTTTGGAGGAATAAACGCAATTAAACCATACAAAGCATTTGTCAAAAAATACCGTTATTTGTTTGAATGGATTGACTGGCATTTATTAGACAAAGATAAAATAAATGAAGTCTTGAACGGATTTAGAGTAACTGAATATAGTATATGGTATTACTACAACACTAAACATAAAGTATGTCTATTGTTGTATTTATTCTTTTGGGAATATATTTATTCAATAATAGGAAAAGAAAATATCAAATATATAGACATTGATGATATAGATAAATATGTAGATTACATATTTGAAGACATATTGCCTGACCATTATTTTAACCCATAAACCTTACAATTTAATTCTTATTGTAAGATTTATGTTTTGTAATATTTTGTTAATAATTTAAGTTTATATTCATTCTTTGAAAATGACTTAAGGAAATAGCGACTTAATATATTAGTGAGAAAATGAACGGTATTGAAATCAATAAGTATATTAATAAGAAATGCTATGATTGTTGCCACTTTAAAAAGGAAAATATGGAATTGTATAAATTGAATTTACCTAATGGAATAATAAATAATATTATTGATTATGCTTTGGGTGAAGAAGATTTATGCGAAAATTGTAAAACCTGGAGAGATAACCAAGCTATAATCAAATGTTTGTTGAGATTAAAAGGAAGACATAATAGAAATGTAGAAGATGACATTTTGATATTTTTAACTGTAAATAAATTACCACCTTACGTTTATGTTAAACAGTTTCTTAAAATCAGTAAGAAAAAATATGTAATGATTCATGATATATTATTGATGTTGTGTCATAGTCAAAAGAAAGGAGATGATATTAAAGAATATATCAAATATTATATTGAAATTTATAAAAAGTTTAATGTTAAAAACACAGTGAGAGATATTAATATTATTTTTAAAATGATGTATGACATAAGTGAGATTTGTCAATTAAATTATTATCCTGAACTTAAATTATAAATTAACCCATAAACCTTACAATTTAATTTTATTGTAAGATTTATGATTTGGATTTATAGATTTAGTTCCAAGCAATATTGATTATATTTTCAAGGAAGTTTTACTAGTGTAAAGAAAAGCAACATCTTAAAACAAATAAGCATAAAAGAAACTTAGAAATGAAACAGGCAGAAGAAAATTAACACTATTTTTATTAATAAATATTTTACATAAAATTGTATAAGGTTAATATGTAGAATAACTTCTTAACCTTATATAATATTTCAATGAAGTAAAATTATTTTTCAAGGAATTAGATAAGGTTAATGAATATGAATAATGTATTAACCTTATTTAATATTTGAATTATAAACCTATATTTTATATTTTGGTAAGTTGTTCTGAAAATTATTTTACTTCGCTCAAAATATGTTTCTGTATTTTTTCCCCTGATATCCCCTTTCACCCAAGACATCGCCAAGGACCTATCAAGACACAAAGATCCCCAACCACAACCTCCACCCAAAAAAGCACCCAAAACAACTCCAAAAACAGCCCCGAAAGAAAAACAAACCGATGCACTTGACGCACTTGACGCCTTGACGAACACACTGAGCCCCTCCTTTTACGGGAGCCATTCTCCTACTTGCCGGGACAAATGGCAACTGCTGTTTGTAGTTGGTTTACCCTCCCACCATTTGACATGGAACCTGCCTCTTGGGGGTCCCTTTGAAAGGAACATGCTCCAAACGTCAGGCTCCATGTTACTTGGTGGGAGGGTAAGGGGAAGCCCTTCACAAAACGTGGAACAGAGCACCTCCCGTTGCACTCTACGGCGTTCAGCTTGAGCGCCTGCTCCGCCTCTTCCTGAGAGTTTTCGGGTGAAGTCTGCAATTTCGGTAGTGAACCAACGAACAGGGCATCCCCCTAAAGAAAGGCGCACCACCCACAAAACAACGTGAGTCAATTGCCATACCCGCAGTATGGGATCCCTTCTGACACGTCTCAAAAGGCCTTTGCGCATGTGCGCCTGCCGAGGGTACATGCTAGTTTCGCACGTGCACGTTGTGTTCTGAACAGCAAGAACTTTCAGGGTTCGCTCCAAGCAAGTCAAGATCAAGGCAACCCATTAGAAGCTGGGAAGAGGCGCCACAAACGAGACATTTCCTCCAGTGCACTCCGACCTCACTCCTGCCCTGTCAAAGGCCATCAACTCACATCCGCGCAGACACACGGAGCCTCGCGCGCGCGCAACACAGCTAGGACTTCGCTGCCACAACAGCGGAGTGTGAAAAGTAGGGGCCCTTTTCAGAAGCTTTCTTTGAAAGAAACGCAACGCGTTTTGCCCTTCAGCCAAATGCACTCTGCTGGTTTCAGATAGCAAGAAGAGGCAACATGTCAGCTGCCCAGGTGCGGCGGAGCTGAACCACACCTCAGCCGGCACTGCAAAGCAAACAGCCTGGAACAGAAGGCTGAAGGATGCGTGTCTCTACACACACACATATATATATATATACCATGTATCCATTTCTATCTACCGATCCATCTACCCTTTTCCCAACCTATCGATCTACATCGATCTTTGGATTTATATTAGCCGTTCGATCTATCGAACGATAGATCCATCCGTCGATCTATCATCTATCGGTTTACCGACGCACATCGATCTATGTATCTGTATATCTTTGTGGGTGTTTCGGCAGCCAGGGCACACCTTTTGGACATTTCTGCATTCTGAAGGAGAGCAAACTACGGGAACCGCATCTCTGGCAACACCCGAATACGTAGATCATGCGCTTGCACTCGCGCAGCTGGCAATTAGTTTTGCACCACCTTCACCGCTGAACATCCTAAGAGCTTCATCCGAGGCTCGAAGGCGTAGCTGATTCTCTCCGTGCCCGGCTTGCGGTGTAAAGAGACCTGAGAAGCGAGTAGCGCGCGCCCTGTCCGACAGCGGACTGCTCACGCAGGCTTCCCTTGGTTTGACTCAGGGAATGTTTCCCGAACGGAACTTCATTCAGCCACGGAAAACAAGCCCTCAAAGAAACACCTACCTCAACAACTGCTCCATACACACCACGCCTACCCAGCAAAACAAGTCCTGGAAGCGGGCGCCCGGAGCAAAAATGGAGAGGAACCTCCACGCGAGTCCCGAACATGCCTGCGGCACCTGGCTTTTGCTCCAGTTGCATGAGCAATACGCCGCAACGCGCCCAACCTCACACTTTCAACTTCGCAAGGTCGCTCGCAAATCTGAGACCACGCTATCACAAATAGCATGTTGTCACATGGCGTCAGAGGTGTGCAGTCCACGCGCCCCAGTTCAACAAATGTGTGCGTATGGGACGCTTCGCAATGCTTAACCTGAGCGACCCCATCCTCTGCACGTACACACACGCACATGCCTGACACACTTTCTCAGCTCCGTCTCTCCTGACAAGACGACCACAAATGACCGCAATAAAACCATCCCGGAACGTTCTGTCTGAATCCCCACCTGCTTGACCCACACACAATCTGGCTGATTTGCAGTAATTTGCCAAACCCAAAATATGAGGATTCCTCTGTGAAAGGGACCTTCATCGTGGGGTGAGGTCTCAAACACCCTCTGTGAGACCGCAAAAGAACTGCGAAGAGTTCAATGCTCAGTCTGTCATTTGCACACAGACAAGGGAGCCAACAGCAAAAGGGTCGCATGTTAGCTTGTAGCTCCACGCCTATCAAACTCATTTACGGTCAGGAGCTTTTGGAAGGCGGTCCCTGGTTTTGACACAAACCCATGCCAAGAATACAAATGGATATGGCCAGTCCAGGTCAGGCCTTCTCTTCGAGCTTCTAGGGTCCTGTTTTCCAACTCTCCCCGTTCAACTTCATCCCTTTGCGGTCGTCGACAACTTGTGGGAAATTGCGCTTCACATTCTTCAGTCTCAAAGGGCTGCGCGTCGGCCCTCACGGAAAGTGACGACCTACAACCCCCCCACCCAAAACACAGAAGATTGACGAACCTAGTTTTCGGCGAAGTTGCTGAGCTCGAAAAGAAACCCAACATGGAAAAGGTACAGGTACCAGAGGTAAAGGTGCCAGGGCTAATCCTAAAAATGGCCTGGACTAACCCTAAGACTGCAAGAGGCACAGGTACCAGGACTAACCCTAAGAATCGAAGAGGTACAAGTGCCAAAGCTAACCCTAAGAATTAACGAAGTACAGGTGCCAGGACGAAAAATGGAAGAGGTACAGCAAGAGTATTCCTAGGATCGAAACAGGTACAGGCGCCAGGACTAATCCTAAAAATAGAAGAGGGGCAGGTGCCAGGACTAATCCTAAAAATGGAAGAGGTACAGGTATCAGGGCTAATCCTAAAAATAGAAGAGGGGCAGGTGCCAGGACTAATCCTAAAAATGAAAGAGGCACAGGTACCAGGGCTAATCCTAACAATGGAAGAGGTGCAGGTGCCAGGATTAATCCTAAAAATGGAAGAGAGACAGGTCCATGCGATACCCGCAATTGTCGGTTCCTCGCCCCCGAAGAATAATTTGAGATGCACGTCAGCGATCGATGATACTTGTCATCACTTCGCCGGACAGAAGGGTCGTACTGAAAGTCATCTTGCTTGATGATGAACAGCTTCTGGACGCCTTTGCCGAAGTCGACGTGATCTTCACCATGGAAAGCACTGTAAACCCAGGAGTCGTAGTGGCCACCCGTCTCATTGCGACTGTAGGCCTCCAAGGGAATGGGCAGGCTGACCTCCTTGGGTGCCCCGACCTTCTTTGCAACAACTGCGGACTTAGCACCGGCTTGCGCCGGGCGAGCACCCTGCGCAACGTCATGCTCCATGACATCATCATCCGGTGCAAATTCCGCAGGATCAACAGGTGCAAAGTCCAGCCGCGGGTCTCAATCTTTTCTGGTGAAAGGAAGACCAATCATCTGGGAAAGGCTGATACCACACTTCGCGAGGTTCTCTTTGCAGTAGGCAAGCGCCTCAACATTGAGTCTCGACGAAAGGCGTGGCCTTCCGCAGCTTCTTCTTCCCACCGGACACCATGCTGAGGCCTGAGTCGCTGACAGTAATGTAAATCAGCATGTGCGATCTGGCACCTTGGGCGCGTTGACTTGAGGTATGGCTCGGAGATCGTTAGCAGCGGAGTCAAAATATGGACATAGTGCGGTTGGTCCTGAACCCACATGTGGATCAGGGAATGTGCTGAGGTCGTCTCCAGCTGCCAGGTTGCTGTCATACTTTGCATTGGTGCGCACCGAATTTGTATCCAAATTCTCCATCCATCGCTTCCGTGCCGGGTCGCAATCCCTCGCAGGATGCGCAAATGCCGTGTGGCTGCTCATTCCGAAGCGGATGCAGCACTATCACTCGAAAGCAACGGCTGCATGCGGAGAATGTTGTGTGCACTGCATCAGTGTAGACATGGGTGTAACCTTCGGCTTCCTTCAAATGCGTTCCGCGGCTTTCGTCATGCTCATGCTTTCCATCACACTTGAAGTACTCAACAGAAATAATAGGAGCTGGCAACAACCCATTGCTTTTTCATAGGCTCACCATTCCTACCAGTCATGCCACTTTTGCAACCGTGGAATTCGTACTTGTTCATTTTGTACTGTGTCAAGAAACTCCACAGTTCGGGCCATTTCCAATAACGACTGGCTTTAGGAAGTCTGAAGGCAATTCTCACATCGTCATCGTAGATCTCGTTGAGAACGCGTTTGAGACCTCTCAGCACGAAATTGCTTGATGTGACCTTCAATGTTGGCGGCACCCTTGATAGTTTGCTGATTGATATACCCCGATGGGCAACCTCCAGTACAAGGCAGGGAAACATAGAACAGTATTTTTTGGGGGTTCTTGCTCCTGAAGGCGGAAATTTTACTGTTCAACCGCTGCCTGCATTTGTCGGAACAACCACCCTCGGCTTCAGTGACACGAATCACCTCACATCCTATTGAAGCTTTCCTTGTTTCGCCCAACCGTGAGGCTTGCGAGGAACAGAATTCGACAAGCAGACACTTGGGCTGAACGTTGCACAAAGCAGCTGTCTGCCCCCCTCATCGCCAGGTTCTCCGGCCTTGGCCTCGGAGGTTGCAATGCGCTGGTAGCACAGGCTTGGGGGGACATTCCGATCAGCTCCTCCATCAACCTGACTTTCCATTTGCCGCTGAGTTGCACACTCAAAGCATTGATATTAGCTATGCTATTCCCTGAATCTACGTTACCGTGGGGGATCTAATGTAACTCAGGATCAATGCGAGCGATGATTCCATCCGACATGTCAAGAGGGGCCTTGCCTGCCTTTTGAGCTTATGGGCGTCTTTGCCGAACAGGCTAAGCTGACAAAACAGCGACAAAGTCGGGAGGCCTCCTGGTTCGCAGCTATGACCTCGGCCTCGGTCGAGCTCGTAGCGGTGGCGGTCTGCTAGCGGCTAAAGGCATTTAGAGGATAATACGTGTTGGGTCCTACAAGTATCATAGCGCGCCCCGTAGTACTATGCGAGTCGTACTCGCCAGCCCAGTCCGCGTCAGCGAACAGCCACAGTCTGCAATCGGCAAATTTATCCTCGATATATCCGCGCATGTTGAGGTCCTTCGAACAATGTTTATACGATGCAAGTCAATGAAGAGCGCTGGCGCACTCCGTAGACCATTTAGTTACGCGCGAAGCGAGACTTTGTGTGGCCCTTAGAAGGTCATACCTGGCCATGCGGGCTGCGACTAGTATCTTCATAAGTACCTAGGCCCTCCTCATCTACGACAGGTCTCGCGACCTTCGATCCAATGAAAGGAGTACTCACCTTGCTGAAAGACGACATGCTGACCTTGGCAACTTCGCAATATGCGTCGATGCATGACCTGAGGGACTCAGACATGTTGTACTCGACGATGCTGACCTCTTTCGTCATACAACCTTCAGGTTTGTCGCAGAGGCTTTTTGGCCCTTTGAATTTAGAAGCTTTGACTTCCTTCTTCGCAGCGGTCTTGTCTCTCAATGAGCCTGGCTTAGAGGGCATTGCACACAGCAGCGCTGAATTTTGACTTTCATCGGTAGTCCGGTCCACCATGCAGTGTCCGCAGGAATGCGATCACTTCGTGCTGCGACCACACATCACAAATCGGACTTGGCTTTGGTTCATCTTTGATTGTTATCCTTTGTGAGCCGAGGCTGCGCGCGAATGCACTGTTCTGCTCCTTTGACCGGAACTGACCCTTTCTGGGCTGCAAATGATGTCGTCTAATCCACGTTTTGTTAGTGGCATCATGTTCCCAGTAGTCTTCGGTTCTGCGCTGAGAGCAAACACCTGCGTGTTGCGTGCTGCCTTCGAACACGTGCCTAAAAAGGTGATCCTCTTTGGGCAATTTCACATTGTTCTTTTCGACATGAAGACACCCAAAGTATCGTCCGAAAGGCTTGGGCGAGTCAATCTCAACTACCGTCCCGCCCCTTCTCAAGGCGACCGGTTGGTCCTGCGAGCTTGAAGTCATCAACGTAGACAACGAGCAAAAGATCCAGTTCCGGGTGATGGACACTCTCACAAAGCCTTGCTTGCTGAGGGCATCTTCAAGGCGCCTTTCCCAAAGCCCCCCTGGGTCTGGATGTCCATGCAACGCTAATATGAGAGGAACAATGGGGTCAATGCATTTCTTGTTCCAGTGGCTGGGCCATCTGTTCTTTGGCACAGGGCTTGGATATAGGCTTGCTTCGCGTCAGCTTGCGCCTTGCGGCAACCAGTTGGGACCCAAAGCGTCAAGGATTTTTGCTGCCTCCATGGATGCTGTGCTCGATCCTAGTTTTGCAAACAACGCCGCAACAGAATTCTCATCATTAACATTGTTTCCTTGAAAGACGGTCCTTCCTTTGAATTTCTTGCTAGGATCATCATCTGGAAGTTCGCTACCCTTTTCATAGCAAGCTTCGAAAATCCTACCAATATGGACCTTCTCCTTTGGTCTGGGCTTCTTTGATGACTCGCCTACATTCCTCAACTCTGCCCTTGTCCCAGGTCCCTTTCTTCCGAAGGTTTTCCCATTCCTTATCGAGGGCTGCCTGGGCCTTTGGAGTTTGGGCTACTTCGGCTTTGGGAACAAGCCTTGCAACGACGGCGCTGAACAGCTTGAGAGCAACGTAGAATTCGATCTTCTTGATACACTCTTTGATCAACTCTCACAAATGCGGACGATGCTCCTCCTTTGCTGACTTGTCACGCTTGGGAAGGACAGGCATGGCATGGCCAGGGCCGGCCTAATCACCGGCATCGCCTGCTCATGCACCCTCGCGGGTGGGTGGCGGAAGTTGGCTTCACGCTGGAAGCTGCCTCGGGGTGTTCGGATCTGGCCACAGTCGACACGGCTGTCTCGATTGCGGCCTTCTTGCGTTCTGCACGGAGCTGCTCCTCGTATTGCTGGGCGAGAGCTTTGCGATCTTGACTGTCGGGCTGACAAGCCTAACCCCATCTCACACGTAACCGTCGGGCACTTGCGATCCATCACACATCTTGCTCGTGTCAAACACACTGGTCTTTTCGGGCACAGCTGCTTTGACGTTTGCTTGCTCCGATGCGGTGGGTTCAGGCAGCTCAGCTAGGCCGCGCTCAGGCGGCACAGGGTCACTTCGCGTACTGGCATCGGCAACAGGTGGATGAGATGCAGGGTCTTTTAACAACCTGATCGGGAAGTTGAACTCATCCGAAGCAAGCTCAATGCGCTTGGTTCGCTGTACCGTGAGGGACGCATGTTCGATGCAATAATCAAATCCTTCAAGCTTTGCGACAAGAAACTCACCCTTCCATGCAAACCCGAGCTGAATGTGATACCCGAGAAACACGCCCTCATTGGATGTCGGCGAAGTCTTGCCTGCCTGATTGTCAGCACGTGCGGGGTTGTTCCAAAACAGGATCTTTGCTCCGAACGGAATCTTGACTTCATCAAAGGTCTGGTTGAACCTGAGGTGCCAAGGCGAATCATTTCCGCTCAACTGTGGCAAAATGTTGGTTGCAACTGCATTGTGTTGGGTAGCAAATGGCCACATAGACAATGAAAACCCTGACTGAACAAGATTCGCTCGAGCGCCCTCCAACAAATGTCTGATCTCCCTCTCGACGAACGACTTACAGGAGTCAACATACTCAATGGAGGTCTGGCGGCGATACCCCAATTGCTCGATAGCAGCTTTCGATTCTGATCAACCATGAACAAAACCTGCCTTCCCCTCATGGCCTTTCCTTCCTTGGCACATTCCTCCTTTGCTGTCAGAATGCGTTGGGCGAGATCGCCCTTCGCTGAGCGCGTGAGCGCTGCGAGTATCTTCGTGTCCAAAGTTACGAATTTACCAAGCTCAGCAAGCTCCTCCAACAGCTTCTTCTTGTCCTCGCGATCCGACCACACCTCCATGATCCAAGGCCAGGCCTCGTCTGGGCAATCGGACGCAGCACGAACATCTTCACGCCTGATGTTTTTCATTCACGGTACGTTTCGGGAGTGGGCATGTCCTTGAACCGCAACGTCTCGCTCTCGCGAGTTCTGGGTTTCTCATCATCCGTGCGCCCTGTCACAAACTTCAACAGCATCTTTTGGCGAAGGCTTCCTGGCCGAGGTTGGCTCCGAGGCCATCCCCGTCATCATCATCACCTTCACCATCGCCATTCCCATCATCACCGGGTGGCGGACCATCGCGCGGCTTTCCGCCCTGCGCGGTCAGCTGGCATTGGCCTGTAAGAGAAATGCAGGGGCGGCACTGGCGCATTTTTTTGGGCGGTGACCTACCGGATGGAATCTCCGAAGATCCCTGCGGACCGCGTGCGTTGGACTTCAATGCTTCGCGCTACCATCAGTAGTGACAAATGCTCTCAGCCTTTCCTTGGCATACTCAAACGGATTAGACAACGGGTCCAAATGAGACTTTTGCGACCGAGCTGATCTCAATTCCTCGGTCAGCAATTCTGGCGAATCCTCTCGGGTATCGCTCACGCATTTGGGCTTCGCACCTTCCTCGCGGAAGTCGTGATATTTCATCTGCTGATTGAGGTCGTCGTTCTCCTCCTGCAACTTATTCTGTACGGCCATCATGTCAACGGTCCTAGCACGCGTAGCTTCGACACGAGCGACATCGTCCGCATGCTTGCTGCTGTGCATCTGCTAGGGTCACTTCAATGGCCTGCTTTGAACTCACTGGTCTTGCGTCTCATTTCCGCTTCATGAAATGCCTGGGCCTTGCTCTCACATAATCGACTTATCATCCTACCTTCGGCGTAAACCAACTCAACGTTGAACTCTTTGCTCACTCGCTGTTCGTATTCACGAATTCTTTGCGACTGGGCTTGCGCACACTCAGCGTAATGTGCATGCAGCTGATTCTGTGTGGCACGGAGCTCCTCACGGTTTTGCGCGTAACAGCAAAAAGTGCTTGATGCAGTGCTTCGGCTTCTGACCTAGTGGCTGCATCGTTCCCAAAAGGCGGCATTGTACGGTTGAAGGGAATTCATTAGAGTACGGTTTTGCTGTGCATTCATGCTAAACGCTTGGATGCGCACACCGTCGCCGGTGGCGTGATCAGAGCTTGCTCCGACACTGTCAACCGGCATCTCAGATCCATCAACCGGCAAAAGGGAACATCCATTGCTGTACGCTAGGGGCCTACGGCTGATAACCTATAGATTCGAGGGCAAGTGCGCTGCTCGCACATTTTCACGCTTGAACAGCCACACTGCGGATGCAACGGATGTTAACCCCAAAACTGACCGAACAAATTCTTCAAGGACTAATCCTAAAAAAGGAAGAGGTACAGGTATCAGGACTAATCCTAAAAATGGAAGAGGTACAGGTACCAGGACTCATCCTGAAAATGGACGAGGCACAGGTACCAAGACTGGAAAAAGTACAGGTACCCGAACTATTCCTGAAAATGCACGAGTACAGGTACCAGGTTTGGACGAGGTACACGTACCAGAACTAGTCCTGAAAATGGACGAGGTACAGGTACAAGGACTGGACAAAGTACAGGCACCAGAACTATTCCTGAAAATGGACGAGTTACAGGTACCAGGGCTGGACGAGGCACAGGTACCAGAACTAATCCTAAAAATGGACGAGGTACAGATACCAGGACTGGACAAAGTGCAGGTACCAGAACTATTCCTGAAAATGGACGAGGTACAGGTACCAGGACTGGACGAGGCACAGGTACCAGAACTGGACAAAGTACAGGTACCAGAACTATTCCTGAAAATGGACGAGGTACAGGGACCAGGACTGGACGAGGCACAGGTACCAGAACTAATCCTAAAAATGGACGAGGTACAGATACCAGGACTGGACAAAGTGCAGGTACCAGAACTATTCCTGAAAATGGACGAGGTACAGGTACCAGGACTGGACGAGGCACAGGTACCAGAACTGGACAAAGTACAGGTACCAGAACTATTCCTGAAAATGGACGAGGTACAGGGACCAGGACTGGACGAGGCACAGGTACCAGAACTAATCCTAAAAATGGACGAGGTACACCGGACAGGGTACAGGTACCAGAAAACAAATTTCCTGAAATGGGGACAGTAGGTCCAGCGGTTTTTCATCCACCATTCCCTTTCTCGCCTCCGTGACGTTGTGATCGTTGAAGACTTCGCGCAGGTTTTCCTCCGTGGTGTCGGCCGCCACGTTGCCCAGGAAGAGCTTTCCCCCTCGGATTCCAAGCGGTTCCCCAGGGAAAATGGTTTTTCCGGGCAAAGCGAAATGAACTGGAACAACAACCCCAAAAAACTAATTAAAGACATGGGTTTATAATTCCATGTATCCATTTACCAGGGCCACCTATTTTACCCACGGCCATATGGTAAAACCATATGGTAAAAAACAACTAGACCACGGTTGGCCCGAAAGCATCACAGCCCCGTGACCATTCTGCGCAAGTTGCTCTGGGCAAGGTGCTTTGCGCAAACTGGCCTGTGCAAGTTGCTCCGCGCAAGTTGTTCTGCGCAAGTTGCTCTGCGCAAGTTGCTCTGTGCAAGTTGCTCCGTGCAAGTTGCTCCGTGCAAGTTGCTCCCTGCAAGTTGCTCTGTGCACGCTGCTCTGTGCAAGTTGCTCTGTGCAAGTTGCTCTGCGCAAGTTGCTCTGCGCAAGTTGCTTTGCGCAAGCTGCTCTGTGCAAGGATCTCTGTGCAACTGACTCTGTGCAAATGTCTCTCTCCCTATCTCGCTCTCTGCAAGTTGTTTCTGTGCAAGATCTTCATGGGCAAGTTGCTCTGCGCAAATTGCTCTGTGCAAGCTGCTCTGTGCAAGTTGCTCTGTGCAAGTTGTTCTGCGCAAGTTGCTCTGGGCAAGGTGCTCTGCGCAAAGTGGTCGGTGCAAGTTGGTCTGCGCAAGTTGCTCTGCGCAAGTTGCTCCGCGCAAGTTGCTCCGCGCAAGTCCCTGCAAGTTGCTCTGTGCAAATTGCTCCGTGCAAGTTGCTCCCTGCAAGTTGCTCTGCGTAAGTTGCTCTGCGCAAGTTGCTCAGGTGCTCTGCGCAAACTGGTCTGTGCAAGTTGCTCTGCGCAAGTTGCTCTGCGCAAAATGGTCTGTGCAACTTGCTCTGCGCAAAGTTTTGCTCTAGGCAATGCGCTCTGGCGCCAAACTGGGCTTGCAAGAGTTGCTCTGCGGCAAGTTGCTCTGCGCAAGTTGCTCTGCGCAAAATGGTCTGTGCAACTTGCTCTGCGCCAGTTGCTTTATGCAAGTTGCTCCGTGCAGCTTACGACGCACCGTGGACCAGGGGGGAATCGAGACCCACGACCCCGCCTGTCCCCCGGGAGCGAGGCGCGCGAAACGCACGAGACAACTCCCGAGGACCAGTTCGAACAACAAAAGTCGCAAAAAACCGCTCCCCCCCCCGGGGAATAAAAGGGGGGTTTTGCACCTCGACCACGCCGAGCCCCGCAGAGGGCCGCGCGAGCACTGCAGAAATCGTAAAAAAAAAACCTCGAGTTTTTGCACCTCGACCGCGCCGATCCCCGCAGAGGGTCGCGCGAGCCAAAACAAAATCGCAAAAAACCTTGAGTTTTTGCACCTCGACCACGCCGATCCCCGCAGAGGGGGCCCAAACAAAATTGCAAAACACCTCGAGTTTTTGCACCTCGACCACGCCGATCCCTGCAGAGGGTCGCGCGAGCCAAAACAAAATCGCAAAAAACCTCGTTTTTGCACCTCGACCACGCCAATCCCCGCAGAGTGTCGTCGGCGCTACCCCGCCGCCCTAAGAAGAGATTTTAACTCCTCGCAAGTCAATTGCACTTGACGTCATTGCAAGGAGTCATTGCAAGGAGTCATTGCAAGGAGTTATGAGGGTCATTGCAAGTTGCAAGGAGCCAAGTGCATGGAGTCAAGTGCAAGTTGCAAGTGCACGGAGTCAAGTACAAGTTGCAAGTGCAAGGAGTCAAGTGCAAGTCGCAAGTGCATGGAGTCAAGTGCAAGTCGCAAGTGCATGGAGTCAAGTGCAAGTTGCAAGTGCAAGGAGTCAAGTGCAAGTTGCAAGTGCAAGGAGTCAAGTGCAAGCTGCAAGTGCAAGGATCCTTGCAATGACTTTCATGATGATGATTCCTTGCAATGACACCTTGCAATGACTTTCATGATGATGATTCCTTGCAATGACTCCTTGCAATGACTCTCATGAGAACAACTCAAGTGAACTCAGCTCAAGAACCCTTCGCCGTGCTTTCGGGAAAGAAACGCGGGACATGGAGCATGACTACAATCCAGGGCTGTGGGGAATGACCAATACTGTGATACAATGACCAATTCTGAAAATGTCCCAAGGGCAATTTGTTCATAGAAAGGGGGATTCCCTTGTATGGCAGAGGTGGGGAACCTTCTGGTTTCCCAAACCACTTGGTTGACACTCCAAATACCCCACCCACCCGCTTCGGGTATGGGAAACTCCCATGAGGGTTCTTCAGGAATCCTGGTAGACATTGCGAACCCTCCCCCCGAAAAGATATATTCAATAAAATAAGCAACTATGGGTTGAGCGGTTCAGAATGAAAGCCACAAAATTCAAAACGGACAATATGTGCCACTGAACTACTGGGCGAGGGTTTCTTGCAAACAAAAAGGGTCAAGCCTTTTTGGACAGTGTGGTTCGCCATCATTGTGGGTAGAAGGGTATGTCCTGCTGGGTCCCCAATAAGAAAAACAATCCGGTTTCGGCTTCCGACAGGAAAGGTTGTGGAAGACCTCCCTGCGAGGCACTCTGATTCCGGATTAATAACCCCTACGGAGCAATCAAACCACTTCCCAAGTTAAAAGTGATTCAAACGGACATAAACGAAACACACATGCACACAGCAAACAAACAAAAAAGGAGCACCATCCACCCAACAACCCCGAACGAGCTTTGCCCTTCGAGCTGCGGGGATCCGGCCCGTGCCGTCGAGCTCCCTTTGGCCGCCCGGAGCCGGGCTGCTGAGCCCAGGCCGAGTGCTGCGGCTCCCGCCGCGGCGCGCGGAAGAGGGGGCCCTGCCGGTTGTCCTCGCGAGAAGTCAGTGACCCGGATCTCAGTAGTTCAGCAAGGACCCTTACATTGTACACCTGAACATTGCCTTGTACATGGTGGTGTTTCCCTTTATTTTTGTACGGAACAAGCCCCATGGTTCAAATGGTTGCAAAATGTATGGTTTAAGGAGCCCTGTTCAGTGACCCTGGAAAAAAGGGACCCTTTTTGGGGAAGACCATTTTTAGTGGGGCCACCAAAAAAAAGGGAAAAAAGGGTGCCACTGAAGAACTGAGGGATGTCAAATGGGATGAATCATCCCCCCAAAAATATGAGTGCCGATGCATTCTGTTGTAGTGTCCATGCATTTAAAGCACCAACGTGTCATGGATATCTGCATAGCTCTAGCGGAGCTGCCTTCAGACCCTTCAAGTATTCCTTGGGCCATGCATTTCAACTTTACTCCTGTAATGTCCAAGGCCTTTTTCCATCATCATGAAAGTGGACAAGGGGCCGTTTCAAGAGAGCAGCAGTCTGCAAAAACCCGACTGTCCACTTTCTGGTCGTTGGAAAAAGGGCACACCCTCACGTCTCTGTGCTTTTTGCCAACGAGGCGCATGACTTTCACTTTCCAGGCGTAAGGGCGCCCCCAGGCAAGCGCAGCCTTGCAACTCTGTGACCGCCTGGCCACGCGGGTGGTGTCTTGTCGTGTGTTCCTGCTTCGGGTACTTTACAGTGCTATACATGCGAGTGTATGCATCTGTGTGTCTGTGCCTCTGCGTGCTTGATTGCATAGTTCTGCCCCGCTCAGCGCTTGCTGGTCATACTGGAAAGCTCAGGCGTGGCCCCTCAATAAGACATAAACATATGGAGAGAACCGCCAAACCCCATGTGTACACAAATCACATGTACACATAGTAGGGCTTTTCGAGGTGTACGTGGCTGAGCCCTGAGATTCAGTAGGTCCTGCATTTCCTGGATGGCCCGTGCCTGAGCCGTGGATCACTTCCAAAATGAGACCTCCAAGGGTCGCTGCCTTCGTGGCGTCCTCCGGGTTCACAAAGTCAACGAACCTCAGGCTGCGGAGCTAACGGGTGAGAAGGAGCCTGAGACACTCTGACAATCTAAAGGGTTGGCCAAAAAGCATGGTGAATTAGAGGGGCGTTGGTGACTTCACTTTTGTAAATGAACTTAGACAGTTGGGCCTTGTCATTCAAAGGGAAGACTGGCCACTGTGACAGTTCTTGGTTTCTCGTGGCCGGCCACAAGTTTGCATCTGTAGCTGATTTGGAACAACCACGCCCACCCTCCTCTTTGTTTTTTTCACCAAACGTCTGTGGCGATAAAAGCAAGCTCCGGTGGACATATGCAACGCATCACATGCGTTGCACGCAAGTAAATGTGCCAACCATATCATTCCGGGTTGGGCTATGCTAGAATATATTTGATTGAGTAAAACCAGCAATGTGCTTTACACATAGCAGCAAGAAGTATGCAAGAAACCCGGATTGTGCTAGGCTAGAAGCATGTTGAGTACAACTAGAAATGTGCTGGAAACACAGAAGGAATATGAAAGAACTACACTAATTTAGTGATGTGCTAGGAATGTGCTAGGTGTTCGCCGAATCCAAAGCAGAACCATGCATTTGTGCTTTTCAGTGCATAGGTATGTTCGCAAGAACAACTAGAACGATTAGTACGAAGAAGTTGAAACCTTGGGCGCACCCCCGGAGGCACCTCTACCAGCAGCCGTCTCTCAGTACTTCTTGTCCAATCAGCAGGGCAAGTTTTACTGATTGTACCACGTCACGGCTGGACTTCGATACCAACATCCTACAGAACGATGCTTGCACGCGCTGAAAAAACACGTGCTAGATATCTGAGATATCTGCTGAAGAGCTACTTTGACATACGGGCGTTGTACCACCTCTATATACAACTAACGGCTACGTTGCAGTAAAAATACGCCACTCAGCAGGTGTCGGAGAGACAAATCATGCTGCACACATGAGGGCATGCGATGAAATTATGCTTGTTCAGGTGCAGTGGGCAGGTTCTCCGGTGCTGCATTCCGCACAGCTGCTATCACACGCACACACGCATGCTAGTGACATTTGCTTGACATCATGCCTGCTAGACTCGTCCCACATCTGCCCAAGAAATATCTCCATATCTCCAAGTGGCGAGATCCTCCGGAAACTCTCCACAACTGCGCCAAAGGCAACATTGGCAGCCCCGAAACCGCCGACCTGGGGGACGCCGCCGAGAAGCGCCATGCCCTTCCGCATCAGGCGCACCTCCGCCAGCGGCCCTGCAACACCCAGCACCTCGTGAAGGTCGGCCTCCTCTGCGTCGTATCTCAGCCCGAAGGGACACGACGCGGAACCACCACGTGTGAAGCTATCTCTCTATAGAAAGGTATAGTACACAATACACGTAAATAATACATATCTTGTATTCTTCTTCTTCTTCTCCACAGCTGTCGGACGGTCACAGTCCTCGCTGAGCGGGGGGCCGCATTCAGATATCTTGTATTCATACATATGCATTTGTGATCATACATCGTTATATGTAAATACAAGCCTGATGATGTTACCGCCACAACACCGATAGGGGACCGCCCAAACCAATAGAAGACGCAAATGGACCCCTGCCAATGGATTCTTCATCCTCCGACCTTGCATGGCATGTGCTGCCCCTCATTGCTGGGATGTTGGCATTGACAGCCAGGGTGCCGTTTCAAGGAATGATGTCACTTCCCACAGAGAACAATGCAAACACACTCCGTGTGGACAAATTCAGCTCGGTCAAGATATCCCTTCTTTTGGAGCCTAAATATGGCGGGGCAACCCGAAAGGGTAGGTTTGCTCTGGCTTGTCGTCCAGAAGCGGCTGGCCCCCCACGGAACTCTCTGTAAACCTTAGGGTGCAGTCGATCAAGGTGTTGTCACAATTCCAATTCCCATTTCGGTTTCGTCCGCTTTACTTCCATAAAGGGACATGTACCATCTACTTTCAACCTCTAACTTCCGTCTGCTTAGTGATATTTGTTATTTGTCCCCTTTTGGTCGTAACGGGAATCTATCACGCTTTTTGTCCAGGGGACTTCATTTAGCAGTCTACGGTCCAGTTGGGAGGCACATGCTGGGACTCAGTACGCTCCAACCACAAAATCTGGGGGGAGCTCATTACTTTCCCCATGGCCATGTACACTGTAAGCGTGAGTATTGGGCACCTGCGCAAGCCGGCTTGTGCTGTCACCTCTTGTGTGAACATGCGGCCTGCCTGGTTCACCCCCCCAAAAAGCACACGTCCATAAATATCTCTACTTATTCGTGACGAGTGCATGAAGCATCTTCAAAATTGAACGTCTAACAACTTAGTAGGACCGTTGGAGTCAGGAAAGGATATCAGCCAGGTCACGGGACATTGCCCACGAAGAGGGTGGCCTTGGCATCCCTTGCCGAGGAGGAGCTCAAATGAAGACCTCAGCCAGCAAGCCACGCGGCAACGCGAGAGATAAAAGCAGCATTGGCAGCATGTTGCCCCAAAGGAATAAAGATTTGTTGGCTTCCTGTGGCAAAACCAACCAAGCATGTTTCCCCAAGTTCCCTTTTGAACAAACATGGCACGGGCAATAGAAGCACTCTGCAATTCGGCGTACAAGAAGAACTGTGGACGTTGATCGGCCTCACCGCTGAGGTCAACTTCAAGCAAGCCGGGGCCCCAACAACTTGTTTTATGGGAAGCTGGGGCTGACTTATTGCACATTATGAAAGTCATGCCCCCCCCACCAATTCACATTGTAATCTGACAGGAGGGTTTCCGGTTTGGACCATTTTCCTTTTGCAAAACAAATCCCAACGTCAGGTTCCATGTTAATTGGCGGGAGGGTACTTGTGAAGGGCTCTTGTGCCCAAAGGTCATCTTGAAAGTACACTGGGCTCTTGGATGTCTGTGTGGGAAACCTGCGTCCACAAGGGAAACCCCAAGAATGCGTGTGTTCCCATTGGTTTCCGCCGAAAGCTCCCTCCTCCCCACACTCGCGGATGCCCACCCATCGCAAGTCGACAAGGCACAGGGTTAGACAGTGAGCCCTGGCTTCCAGAAAGATTTTATGCAGAACCGACCAGGCTGCACAAAGTAGCGTTCCACTGTCTGAAATTAGGGATCCCCAAGAAAGGACCGCCACCATGGACATTTGAGCAGGAGTTGGTGGACGAAAGCTAGCGGACCACAGAAGCAAGGCACCATGTGAGGCGGTCCAGGGCTGTTTGGGGCCGAAGCGAGCTTAGAACGTGAAGGGGCACTTGGGGCAGGGACTGCGTTATTGGTTCTACGAATTAGTTCCACCCAAATTTTGGATACACTATGTCATCAACAAGCCAATACTTCACCCCATGCACTTGCTTACACGTGATCCAAAAGAAGGCTGTTGATACATCCACCTCTTGCAGAGGCTGCGTTGGGATCCGTCGAACTGTCAGATTCTTCCGGTCAGCTGCACGGAAACCCTTGCCCCGTGTTGGGAGTGGGCGGCCCAGGGGGGAATGGAATCTACGGCTTGGAGGAATTTCTTGCTTCGTTTTTTCAGCCCAGATTGTTAGTGGGGATTCAGCCCAGACAGAATGAATCAATAAGTGGGGATTCAGCCCATGCACTTGCTTACACAGGTCGAAACAACAGCTAGCTAAAGCTAGAGATTGAGCATTTCACCCCCGGCTGTTTGCTGCCAGAGGGATGATGCCTGTGGAAAGGCAGCAGATGGCAGCAGGTACCCTTCGACTGGGCTCTGTCAAGAGCCTGCAGCTTGCTCAAGCATCCTGCGTTCAGAAGGCAGCCCATGTCTGAGATGCGGAGCAGCCGCACGGTGGCCGAACACCGATTGGAATTCTCATCGCCCTGCACCTTTTGTGCCCAGCTGACACTCTGAACACACCTCGAACGCTTCTCCCTACGGCCACTGTGAACTAAAACCATCTAAAACCCAGCTAGTGCTACCCCCTTGCAAGGATTTCGCTGCCCCTCGGACTCCAAATCGCGCAATCGCTGCAACGTGAACCCCTTGCAATGTGTGTTTATGTTGCATCATTTCCGAAGGCTTAAGGCAAAACATGCAAGACCTTGTAAACCAACGTTGCCTAAGATGCCACACTCTCGCTCGGGGCCTTGGTTTATCTTCTTCTTTTGTAGCAAGCATAGACAGCTTTACATGTTTACCACGGTAAATGATTGGTTTACTTGCAACCTGTAAGGATATGAACTGCATCTTCGGCAAATTTCAATAGTTTGGTGAGAACCTTCCATTTGCCTAAGTAGCGATCGATTCCCGATTTCAATTGCCCAGAATGATCTGCCAAACCTACTTGGTAGAGACATAGGGAACGAGCTCCTAACTTTGCAGGGGTTCAATATGCTTCTACCCCTTCCTGTTTTGTTGCAGGGAATGGCCGACCCATGACTGCCGACCGATGGGCAGGGCTCCCGTGTCCTCAACCATCACCAGCGAACAAACTCCATGTAGATTGTCCCAACTCATACTTTTTTCTCAAGCCATCCGAAACGGCAATGGCCTCTTCTTTGACCAAACTAAACCCTCCATTGGCAGCTAGGGACAAAAACCCAAACTTCGGGAGAGGGAAACCCTCAACTCACCTCCTGAGTGGATGGGCCAAAGAATTCCCAACCTTCTATTTACCGCAAATGGTCAGGTCCGAACCCAAAAAGTGGCTAAAGTCACTTCACGGGACCTCGGGAAGCGAGCTTTGGGAGCCAAACACCCTCGAATCGAAAGCCGTCGAAGACCGAAGAGCTGCGGCGCGAGAGCGAGCTGCGCTGAGTGCCCCCGCGCTGGCCTTTGAGCACCAAATCCAGATGCGCCGCCGCCTCGGCGATGTGCTCCGTGTCGAAGTAGACCAGGCAGCCTGCCGCTTGCCGTGCCAGCCCGTTGCAACCAAGCTGTTCCGAGGGAACGGAACCCAAACGAGCCGTGCCAATGAACTGGGTTGGCCATGGGATATAATTTGAGACCTTGTTGGTTAGGACAAGTTCAGACATGCTTGCCAGGGTGAAAACAGATCTGGAACTTGTTGGAAGGGAAATGCAAGCCAGCCAGCCAGCGAAACAAACACAAGGCACAAACAAACGCAACGCACCACACATTGGATCAGCGAGATTGCTCAATCATGCCCACATTCCCAATTCATCCATTTTGAAGTGCGCAAAGGATTATCTGAAGGCTAGATTCACTTGCATTTCCAGGTGTGTTTGCAGCATCCGGTCAAACATTCACTTCGCCACCTTGGCATGTTAGCAAAACCATGTTCAACATGCCAAGAGCGATTGAGAGAAGCAGTGCAGGGGACACCCACTGCCTGCCCCCTGCAAGACTATAGCCTGTTCTCAAGGGCTGAAAAAGTGTCTGGCAAGTAAAAGTCTGAACATTTCACAACTTGATGCATTTCTGTGGTGTCGATTGTGGGCACCAGAGTTCTCATGATGGTGAGGAGGCTGGTTTGCGGTGGCCAACCCCGCAAAGATTCCACGCGGTCATGGAAGCCGGCCCACAGACCACCAAGGCACTGGCCTCGCAATCGCACTTCTTTTGAGCCCCAGAAACCGCAGTCATTTCAGCACCGACTTCGTCCGCGTTCCGATTCGTGAGACTCTGAGACCAAAGTGACGCTGGCTACCCGTGCACCGAGCTCAGGGTCAGCAGGCGGATCCTTTCAACTCGCTTCAGCCGCAGCCGGGACCCTCTCCTCGAAGGAATCTGCTCGTCACTCACGCAGGAAGATGGCCACTGACTCCCGGATCCAGGGGACGGTGCTCTTGGCCTGGATCGGTGCCGGGCCACGGAGCCCCATGTCTGAGACCTCGCTAGGAGGGTGACCATGATAGGTTGGCAAGCATCGACCTCTGGCACTGCAATCGCAAACGTTCACACATCACTCATTAGCCTTTCCCGTCCTTCATCCATCCTTCTGGCAGTAGCTGACCAAAAGACATGTGGCAGGCCTGCTTGCAGCCAGGCCATATCTAGAACATCAGCAGTGTGCCAACATTCGTGCTGCAAAGGAAACCGTCCGTGTCTTGGAACAATTGAAAAAACAGCCATGATGGCAACCTGCCTTTGAACGCCCGAGCACCCCTCCAGGCACCAACTGCGGCGCCCAGTCCCGATCCATTGATGCTTGATACAGCTGCACAAAGGGGACTCCTGCGTGTTGCTGGCCAGTAGCGAACAAACACTGGAATCTTCGGCGCGAAGGCCGGCCGAGTCACTGGACTGACGCTGCCTCAGGACTAGCTGTTTTAGTCTGAGAAGCTTTACCCCGGACTTGCGCACACACACACACAGGCATGTGTCAGCCATGCGCCTGAAGACATGACAAGTAATCTTCTCGAGCTATTGGCCACAGAACAAAATGATAGGGGCATCAGAACAGAAAACGAAACGGACCTATGCACTTGTTGAATGTATTCTGTCAAGCGCAGGACAGCACTTCTTGGCTGCGTTTGCGCCAACAGTCAGCAATGCTCTGTAAAGCAGCCAGCGCAAGCACAAGGACCTTCCTTCACTTTTAAAGATCGAAACAGAAGCAGGTGAGTTCTGTTTAACCCCCTACAATGGAACACACAAACAAACACACAAGGAGCCAACCGTAGGGGGTTGCCAAGAGCCCTCAGGTCACATGTCAAGATGTCCTGCATTGAAAAGGCTGGTTCCGAATAACAAAACCACCCTGCCATTCAACGCGCTCAAACTCACAGGTGCCTGCGCCAACTCGGTCAGCTCTGGGCTTCGCATCATCCCTGTAGCTTTCTCTATGAGCTGCCACGCCTCCTTCGTTTCGATCGTTTTCCGAAGCCGAAGTGCAAAGCAGGCGAAGCAATCATGTGTCATGTTTGAGTCAGGGAAACATGGATACCTTAGTGCCCCTTCTGGAAACGTCTGCTGTCACAAAGGCGCAAGGTAGAAGTATCAGGGCGCTGACTGTGGGAAAGCCAAGCTTTGCCACAGCTGCAGTGCTGGCTTCACTTAGACTATAGGACCCCCGCCTATTTTTCCATAGCGCAATGCTCAGTCCCAATGATTTTGTGTGCTGTGCCAATGAAACTGCTGGGACCAGGCAATGCGTGAGGGCACAAACAAATGCACAGTGGGCTCGCCCTTACTTGCAACATGTGATGCCTGAGAGTGCCTTTGCACAGGATAGAATATCGATAGCCATGATCTGAGTGACACTCCGCACAAATGCCACCAATGCCGCACCCACAACTTGCCACAACAAGTCTAAACTCTTTTTTGCTTGCCGCATGTCTTTTCAGGGCACCCCTTTTGGGGTGACGTAATTTTTCCCCCCCTGGAAACTGAGAGGACCAAGATCGCCCGATTTTGTGCCGATCAACGGGTCTCCTGGGGACTCCGCCCGTTCACGTGGCCAGGCCCCGGCTGCCAGGGGGGGGCCCAGGACACCACCAGCG